ACAGAATACAGATTTTTGATTCTGTCTGGCTCTTTCGGTCGTATTATCTCTTGGATTTATTTGTAGGCATGGGTTTTTTATGGCTCCTACAGTCACCTCCCACATGTATAACACTCTTTACAATGGAATTGGCCAAACAGCCTTTTGCACAAAATTCTACTGCAGAAATGGGTCTTGTTGCTCTGCAAGGCTTTACTGGATAAATGTGACATGATTATTATTGATTTGTTGTTTTTGTGTGTGTGTATTCATTGGTGACCAGTTCGAGACCACCAATGCCCTGCATTTGAAGAGCCTTGTTTAATCATGGATAGTTGCCTGGTTTGAACCCAGCATCTCGGTAAAGGTCCCCTTGGCTACCACCTCCCTGCTGAAGCGTTTTCATTCCGTGCTTCCACACCACTCCATCAGTGCGGTGCCTGCAATTCATCTGTTCAAAAAACCCAGCGCACTAATCCCAGTCGCAGGTCAACAAAGCCCAACCTCCCCCGTGGGGATGATGAGCTCTACGGATTCACATAATTCGAATGTAAACAGCAGCTGCCCCGCCGGATAAACTGGCCCTGCCACAGCAGTGTGGAATCTCCAACTCTGGAGCAGAGCTTGAACATCGCTTGTTTAAGCAAGGCATCGTTGATTTTAATACGATAGGAATGCAGTGAGAATGATAACGCACTGCAAAATCACAAACATCAAAAGCAACATATTTTTCACTGTGTTCAATGATGAGAGCAAAGGGATTGAGGAAAGAATGCAAAAGGAGGCCGCCTGGGTCAAGCGATCACTTACATCCGTTTATTTTAAAGCTATTTATGGAGAAGACCATCTTTCACCTTTAAAAAGTCCAGCAGGTGTTATCTTAGTCTTGCATTCACCTATTTACCTTAAATAGCATTTGAAATACGTGGATTTGGGGGCTTTAAATAGAATCGACAGAGACAGTTCAATTATAGATTGTCACGACGATGTATTCACGAATGTTTGGTGGGATTCGAACTCATAACCTCCTGCATAAGGAGCCAAGGTTCACTCATCGAACCATCCCTCCCACACAATCTCTGCACCCGTTCAAGCGCCGCTGAGTATATACAATGTGCGGTCAATACGCAAGGCTCACGGGGTACGCGTTCGCACGTATTAAGCGGCCGCATTGGCATGCTGCCAGCGTGCCTGGATGGAAGAAGTCTCCAACCAATGCATACTGATAGGTGCGATATATATATGGATTGGGAAAACAGGGTCACTGACTGAGAACCATGGCAAGATGTACACGCGACGCATCTCTGTGATGAGACACAACGATCAGAAGCGAACGCTAATGAAGGGCCGCGTCCCGTTTGGCGAAGAGCAACAACGACGGCAGCCAAAGTAAAATCGCATTGCGTAGAATTAACCACGAGAAGAAGAATCTGCAGACGATGAACAAAATTAATGAGAAACACCGAGTTGAGAGCACGGCTGGCGGGCAGGAGGGTCGGGGACATGTGTAGAAGAGACGATGCATCTCTGCAAGTCGTGTCCAGATTATGAAGCAAAAGTACACAAGCACTTGTCACAAGTCTGCAAGGTGTCCAGTATGCACCCATTTATGGTTGAACTTCTTTTGCACCGGACTTAGCCAACCGTGCTAATCGGAGTACAAACGCATGCAGGGTTTTGTAATATCGGCACCGGCCTTTTGTTTAGCATTTAATGAGTCTGTCAAAAGTATTGATTGTATGGATTGTACGAGCAGCATGCTCATCTGCACAGTGACTCACTCGGTTAATTAAAATTGGGAACCATCAGGCAGATCAACACGTGGTAATGGCCAGCTTGTGCAATGGTTCGAGCTCTTGACTGAAATTAAAATACATATCCCAGCTCCGGTAAACACCCAACCCAACATCCCACCATGATAATAGGTTTTTCCCCTTTATTCTGGCAACAAAACAGATGTTAAAACACCGAACTGAAACCTTTTACAAGGAATCATGTCTGCATTAACCAAAATGCTTGTGGTCAAGAATGCAAGCAAAAAACATACTCTGATAAAATATATAAAAAAGGGGAAAAACCTATTATCATATTTTGGTACTGGCCAAGGAGGTCCCATGACGTAGATTCTCACCCCGAGCCCTCATTACTCTGATAGTGCATTGTCTTTGTGCTGTGTACGCCTTTTGGCGTCCTGTGGTCTAACACCGTTTGAGACGAGGCTCAAAAGAAAGCTGTCTCTGGTGTGGAACAATCAGTTTCAAAGACAATGCATCATATATTATCAGAGTGTTTTTTGTTTGCATTCTGACCACAAGTATTGTGGTTAATGCAGACATGATTCCTTGTAACAGGTTTCAGTTTGGTGCTTTAACATCTTAACACCTGTTTTGTTGCCAGAAAAAAGGGGAAAAACCTATTATCATATTTTGTTACTGGCAATGGAGATCCCATGATGTACATCCCACCATGATTAAGAAAATCAGTACGACTTAGAGGGAAAGAAAAAGTGGCTCTCTTACGGAGAAACTGGCCCTATCACGGGAGCAATATAAATAATGGTGTTAACATTTGAATGTTGTTACTCGCCAGATAGTATTCTCTAACTCTCACACGGAGACAACGACCGAGATGGGCGAGGAACTGTAGACAAGCGGGAAGGCAGTCACATGGTGAGTCAGCTACAACAATTGCCCGAGCTCTGCGGTCCTTTATATATCAAGACATTATTGGCCAATTAATGGGCCTTTTCACATGTGGCAAGAAACTTGAGGGGGATAAGACTCTATCTGCGACAAACAGAAAAGGTGGAGTCCACATTTTTTGCTGTACTGCCTTCTCCGGGTGAGCCAATGTATAGCTCCTCTTCGGACTCCCAATGGGAGGGGAGTTTCGCAACACGTGTGTGTGACCCACCAACCCTCACTACCTCCACAGTGCTGGATTACGGGCTGCTTGCGTAGCCACCGATGCCTAAAATGTGGAAATTCTACCACTGTCTCAGGGTTGCCAACAGAGATGAGCACTATCTCGGTTTGGTGATAAAATGTCCACTCATTTTTGCCAATACAACCTTTTTTTTGAAGCCACAATTTATGAGAATAGTGGATTCTGCCGATGCTTGCTCAAGACCTGGAGATTTTGGGTTCAGGTAGTTTGCCCTGTTTATTTTTGTAAAACAATATTTCGGAGATGAAGATTTCACCGAATGCCAAATTTCAACATGGAAAGTTTTATGCAATCATAATACACTAATTGGAATTTGAAAAATGTCTTCCGACTGAGCCCCGACTCAGGGACCATGAGCATTGCCCTTCAATTCGTGAACATATTTCATAGACACTCCACCGTATGCAGTGGTGATACACAGACACACTTAATAGAATGCAATCTCCGTTCCAAGAAAATACATTAGAAACACACACACACACGTATATGTATTAATATTTATGAAAATACGCCTGAAGTTACTAATGTGAGAGACACAGAGAATAACTGTAACCTACATACGAAATGAAACATGATGAACCATTATGGAATTAAATATGATGAACCATTATGAATATGTTAAAACCTTTATCACCAATGTCTCACCCTGTACACGCTCTGCTGATACTTTACGCACAAACCACTGGAATATACAACAATTTATGAGCATGGCTGGGTTTACGCGGTAGGGGGGAGGCTTTTGGGGCCACAGCCAGGGGGCTCGAATATTGAGGGCCCCCCAGAAATATATCTCCTGCTTCATAACGGTTGAAACGCAATACTGTGGCACTATGATACATCCTACAGTTGAATTTGGTAATTAGGGCCATGGCATCACTCTTTGTGTTATATCCACGACTACCGGTTATGGGCCACAATTAAAGTCGTTTGTTAATTTAACGGAGATGTAGCTCTACAATTTGTACACCACGTTTAAAACTTTAGAGCTGAATAAAGCCAAAAGCCAACAGCAGAGGAGTGTTCGGCATAAACAAAACTCTAATGGCCCGAGGCCTTCAGCAGGCATCACCCAGCCCTGGCTATTACGTGTAATTGCTCGATGCGAATGGATAATATATGGTTTTACGTTTATTGATTACAGCTTAAATGAACAATGTTGTCCGGTGGCAAACACCAATGTACAAAATATGAACGTATCACATTTAAAGTGGCAAAACTTATCACACGTCCAGCTTATTACATTGGCTACCTATCAAACATAGGCATGTTTACAAACTATGCCTACTTGTCTCCAAGAGTCTGCACCAAGCCACTCCATCGTCTCTTGCCGAGCAGTGCACAGTTTTCAGCCTCAACGGACCCCAATCGATGCTGTCTACATTCCACAGGCCACTATGATCCTGCTGCTGCTGCTACCCGCACAGCGCAAACCTTGTGCGGTCATACGGCCAACCTGGTTTCAGCGGGGTCTCTGACCCGGACACCTGGAACCAGCTACCATCGGCAGTTGTTCGTGATCCCATGCTCGAGTCTGATCTCGTTTTGTGACAGACTTAAAATGGCGTTGTTTCAAAGAGCCTACTCTGTGTGATCAGCACGTGGCATTCGTGATGGACTGGACGAACATGTGTGCGCGATAACAAGCGTTCAGAATTATTTAAAATGTAAAATTTATTAACATGAATGTCGGTTGTAAAATCCTCCATTACCTCACGGGGAGACCTTGTTCCAATCATTGGCTGTTCGATATGCATCCACAAAGACAAAGAATCCCTCTATGGCATTAACAGACTTTTGGGGCAAATGCTGTTAGCGAGCACCTATGAAGATCGGCACGGAACCCAAGTGGGTGGGTGACCAGCACCACGTCCGGGTGCATCTGTCTCCCTAGTGGCGATGTTTCTACATCGTAACAGGTACTAATTTGAGGCTGAGTCGTCCTTGCGGAGGACCAGGACTGGTTCAGATAATCGCCACAAGTGTTGGCCGTTCGTAGCGGAGCGCGCTAACCGCTACACCACCGCTCCCCGGCACCACACACACAGACATACGTGTAAGCACACGTGCGCGCGAACCTTGAGATCCTGCAGCTCGCCCGTGTGCAGGCTGTCCACGTACTCCTGCAGCTGCACCAGGCCGTAGGTGCTCTCCGCCAGGCCCGTGGCACGTTCCACCACCGCCTCGTACCGCGCGCACACCTCGCGGTTGAACCTCTCCGAGGCGGAGGCCGCGTGGCCACCGATGACCGCGGCCAGCTTCCGCGCGCGCTCCGTCAGCCACTGTGGAGGACGCAAAGGGGGCAGCGCCGGGCGGAGGCTAAGCACGATCGCACTCCCGTGCCTTCACCTCACAAAACTAAATTTACAGCGATTTCCTACTCAAGTGAGCATACAGCCCTGAGCCAGCGGTGACAATTCCACGCTGCTATGACTTCTGTAGGGCTGCAGTGATTCGCACACTGCACTCTCAGCCCTAAGTTCCATTCCCAGTCCCAGCAAAAACCATAGGCGAATCAACATCTTTACTGTTCCTGGGCACTCCCCTCCACCAAATCACACTGGTCAGCATGATGAAGTATGATCAAACGACCTTCATAAGTGATGCAACTTGTGAGGACCTTCGTCCAGAAGTGAAATGAAAAAAGGGGCAGCACATTATTTATATACTTATTGTGTGTAACAGATGAAAATATTTTACCGTGATTGCCACTTTAATGTTGCTGTTTGGGGTGGCTGGGTGGCTCGGGGAGTTAATGTCCGTGTCAGATCACTGAATCCACGGTGATGAGATCTAGCGCTCAAATTCAGGCAGGTGCCTGTGATTAAACCACGTTCTCAAGTGTGGTGAGCTCACCGTCACAGTCTGTTTACCAATGAATCGACAAAACCCCATCAAATACATTTTTTATAGTTTTTCACTTAAATGGGACTTGCGCATGGCAAATATGTTCAAGAGCTAAATGCTGTCGAGGTCTGCTAGCCACGAGAGGGCTTCAGGAGAAAGTATCCACTTAGGCAGCTGGAACTAAACTGAACTGGTGGGCTTAAGGCCCCTCTATTTATACTACTATTTATATGACTGGAGAGTTCTAGAATGTTCTAGAAGTTACTCCAAGTTTACTCAGCACTGAATCTATCTGGAACGTTCTGGAAAATAGGTACATTTCAAAATATCACAAAAGCAAAGTTTGTGGGGAATAATAGCCATTTTCTATACTCTTTAGGCATAAGCAATTACGAAATAACACTTACTATCCAGGAACAAAAATTGCGTTATGTAGTGTAATGAAATGCAAAAATGTACCAAGCTGGAATATTCAGTGAGGCGTTAATCACACTTTGCAAGCATAAGCAACCTTCATAACGAGTCTCAAAACTCGGTGATGCTTATTATTTAAAATATTGCATACTGTGAGAGTTCGTTTTTTTTCACTGAAGAGTTACCTTTCGTCATTAGCCATTGATCAAAATTAGCGTCCTGGGAATTAGCAAACACCAAATCTGTAGAGCGCTTAATAAGCCATCTTACATATGAGTTTTACTCCCCTCAGGTGCATGTGTGGCGACGTTCATCTGCTGATCGAGACATTAAGGCGAGGTTCTTACAAAAAAAAAAACTTGATGATAAGGAACATTTGACAAAAATGAAGCGCCGGGCTATTTAACTCCTAAGATTCACATTAAGAGCTCGGATACTGATACAGGCAATTAACTTATAATTGATTTCATCATTTCAATTATTCATGTCAAGTAATAAATATCACAGTCCAGCCACTTAGTTATTTATAAAATAAATCAAAGCTTGATTTCATAAGCTTAATTATTTATGCCTGGCTGCAAAGGCAAGAGTGTTTATATGATCGTACTTTCAATAAATGTATGTTTTTTTGGTGTGGATGAGGCTTTCTTGCAATATCGGTAAAAGTCAAAGTGTGCTCAGCTGCTTTGGTTGCCCCGTCCATTATTTTCAAATTCCACAGTTCTATGACGGGAGCCAGCCTCTTCACTGGACAACTGCCGACTGCCCAAAAAGGAGTCATTCACTTTATTGCCTCTGTAGAGATGGACAGAATTTAAACGAGTGTGAGTAGAGCTTTCCAACTACAGTGCCACGCCCAGTCTCAAGGAAACAGATCATTTGGCGATGCTGCGTTGGCACCACAATTAACTACGTGCCATGAAGACGGGCCATTGGCCAAAACGTCGCCAGCTATATATTTAGTATTTCAAGGCCACAGCGTTATTGACGAATGTGTTGAGTTTATTATTTTCTTTTATTAATCAGTGTTATATACGTAATCATAAGAACATCAGAAAGGTTACACAAACGAGATGGACGACGGAGGGGGGAGGGGGTTGGGCATTTGGTTCATCTGGCTCGTTCGGTTGTGAGTCGTCGCTCGAAGATTCTAGGATCTCATCAAGGCATCTCTTGAAGAGTCCCAGCAGTGAGAAGTTGCCACCGCCGCCGCCGCCACCAACGAGTTGCGTGGGCAGCTGGTTTGAGGCTCTGCCACCCTGCGCATGAAGCACAACCGCCTCCCTCCTGGCATCGCTCCTGAACTCTCCCCCACGCAGCCTCCACCGTGACCTCTGCTTCTCTTCCTGTCCGTGTTGAGCTGGTTAGCAATCGTCATCCGGATCGACTGTGACTATTATTTATGATTTTACGGAGCTGGATTAAGTCCCCACAGATTTTTCTCTCTCGACTAAAATATCAGTATTTTGAGCAAACGAGTCATTGCCATCGATTGTTTCTCAGTGAATGCATAACTGACATGCATGTTTTACTTGATAAGGCCACATATCAATTGGAACCCAGCACTTGTGGAACATTTTGTATACTTTTTATAAAATTAAATGTAAAGCAGTCAGATTGATTGATGATGCAGAACTCAGTGAGTCACTCCAGCCACCCACTCAGCAGTGACCAGTCGCCTGCTTATCACTCTTCTATTGCTACAACAACAGTCACTTAGAGCGTGCGTGTTCTCCCCGTGGTCGCGTGGATATTTTTCTCCGGGTCCACCTCCACATTTAGACACATGCGTTGAGATTATTTAGATTTATTTTGCTGCTATAATTGTTCAAATGATGGGCCACTTTGTTGAGCTATCATTTGGGGCCAGGTCGACTCTTAAAAATAAGTTCATACCTCGTTGGGCTTTGCTTGGTAGGATGGGAATGGTTCAGTGTTGTATTTGTTTGTGTTTGCGTGAAATTTTCTTGTTGTGGTTTTCATACCTGATGATGATTGCTTGTGTTGCAGTCGAAACGTCGTGAGAAGTTTATTGTTTTATATATTTTTTTATTGTTTCCTTTCTACGTGACTTTACCGAAAGAACCAAGAATATGAATTCCTGCAGTCACGAAAGCTTTAAATCACAATTTGTGTGATTTGTTGACCTTTCTTGGACTTTGCACTACGATCATGTTTGTGTACTGTGTGTTGTTGTAACGTTCTTACTCGCAGCTTCTGGACATCTGTAAATAAAGAGCTTCATAGCTTATCAAATTCCTCCAGTATGAAATACATTTTCTAATTCTGAGTCGACTGTTCCCATGAAATTCACTCACTGATTCCTCATGTTGTTCTAACAGACTGGCTGTGTCATCTCATCCACACTGAATTCAACCACCACATGATAAAAACTCAACTATATTTATTTTGACTTTTTTTAACCATGTAAGGCCCACTGAGCTGTATGGCTCTTTCTTAATGTGGAGGGGAAAACCGGAGGACCTGGAAAAAAAATCCACGTGACCACGGGGAGAGTATACAAAATCCAAATATACAGGCATCGTCAGGGTCGGGATCGAACCTACAATGTCCTGTACACCGGGTGAAGTCGTTAATATCTCGCCACCGTGCCCCCCCAAGCTGCAGGTCACAACTCTTCTCTTTCTGCCGCTTCCCTCGCAATGATCCACTTTGGAATTCCCTCCCATAATCATTTTCCCAAGCTCATATATCCTTGACGAATGCGATAAAGCCATTGCATTTGATCTATTACACCTGCAATAGTGCTGTTTGTTGCTGGCTGATTAGCATTTTGGGCATTTTATTCTGTGCTCAGCAGCCGTGATTTAAACATATTACTTGGTAAGTAATAAAAGTTATTACTGCATGAGGTGGAATCCCTGTTTACCTCAAATGCTTCTCCATTCCTCCCCTCAACCAGTCCACTTGCATTGTGGTCCAATCGCACGGTTCACAAGCTGAAGGTAGCGAATTCAAACCCAGATCAGGAGTCGACTCAGCCCAGCATACCTCCACGGCCAATAAATTGTGTATCACTCTGATGAAACAACAATAGCTGCCTTAAATAATGGTAAATTCTTTTCAGCCAAAAAGTTGATTAACTCAGCTATGGCTGCGACCACATTGCACCTGTACTGATCTCTAAATGCACACGAGAGTGCGAACGCCATTATTTAATATTCAGGTCTGCGTATGTTATAACCTAAAGTATACCTATTTTACATGAACAAAGTAAAGTATTCCACCAAAGTCAATTACTTACTTGAATAAATCAATTGCAATTATCAAACATTCATATATTAATATCAAACAATGAATGTCCTCGATTATACTTCCAAATATTTATACCAAGTTGTCCTTATCGGAAATTAAATTAGTTGCATCAAGAAATGAACAAGTAATGTTACTTACTCTATTATTTATACAGTAATCCATCCACATGGCATTCTATTTGTAGTATTCAACTCCCAATCATTAGGTTGTAAGTTCATACGCTAAGTGGGGGTTGATTCATCCCGTGATACCAGCATTATTAATTGAAACACATGCCCCTTTGCAGGAATCCAAGCTATCATTCTACTAAGAAACTGGCCAATCCCATGCAAATGTGGAATATTTGCGACCGAGACTGTGCCACCATCAATGGAGATGAGTGCCACGTGACGCTTGTTTGATCATGGAGACCCTTTGCTTTTATAGCCGGGCATTGGTGGCTATGCACGTGGCCTGTCGTGCAGCACTGCGGAGGAAGCAAGAGTTGGTGGATCTCACACACTGCTGTTGTGAAACTCCCTTCCCGTTGGGCGCCGAGGTGCCATATCCCGGCTCGCCAGGAGAAGGCAGTACAGCAGGTGGACTAATGGCCCACACGTGTAGTGACATCGCGGGATGTCACTGTGTAATGCCGGCCCTAGAGAGGCACGGCGTGCGGTGTAGCGACATCGCGGACACCACGTGGATGTGGGTGCAGTACCGGCCCGAGAGGGGCTCGGTGAGCTCTGATCGATAGCGCTGAATC